TTTCTTGGATTTTTAGTTTCTTGGTATGTTGTATAGTGTTAATTTTCTTTGAGGTTACCTTATAGTCCATTAACTTTTCCGTCCATTTAGTGCAGTCTATTTTATCCTGTAATCTACCTGACCTTCTCACCATCTGGATCTCTGTTCCTACTTGTTTCCTTCTTTTACACTGTAATTGTTTTTATCATAGATTGACATCCCAGATTCTCTGAATTTGCTCTTGCAGTTTTGTTCTGTTCTCAACTCTTCCGTCTGTCGATTTAGTTCTCAGTGGTGCTGCCACGTATGTCAATTTCTGGTTGCTGTCTGTTCTTGTTAGTTCTCAGTCCACAGAACTCCCTTTAGGATGCTTTGTAGCACAGGGTTGGCTTTGGCAAGATCCCTTAGCTTCTGTTTATCATGGAATGTTTTGATTACACCATCGCATTTGATTGATAGCTTTGCTGGATAATGGATTCTTGGTTGAGAGTTTCTTTTCTTTCAGGGTTTTATATATGTCTTCCCATTGCCTTCTTGCTTGCATGGTTTCTGTGGAGAGATCTGAGGTTAATCTGACTTGCCTGCCTTCTCTTTTCCCTAGCTGCTTTCAGAATTCTGTCCTTATCTTTGATTTTGGAGAATGTGATTATGATATGTCTCGGTGATTTTCTTTATTGGGTCTATCCTTTCTGGGGTTCGTTGAGCTTCTTGAATTTCAGTGTGGCTGATGATATTGAATTGCTCCATTGTTTTTTTCCACAGATGTAGTTGGTTTGATTCTTGTATATGCCATCTAGTTATGTCCATGTTTTTAGTCTCCTTTTATGGTGTTTTAAAAAGGTATTTGAAATGAGTATCTTTTCGGTCTTGCAGAATTCTAGCGTGTGATTTCCAGCATCATGTCTTTCACCAAGGCTATGTTTTCCAACTCTTGACCCTTCTTTGTTTCCAACTTTCTGTGGCTATGGGAGGGAGAATGAGAGTACCCACAATTTCTAAAGAATTGAAAGTACATGGGTTTTTACCTTTGCTACAGACACAACTATGAATGTGATGAAGCATATAGCGGACAAAATGATGAAAATTCTAAGATATTATTATCAAACATTTTAAGGCAATGTGTTGCTGGGCCTGGGGGTTCAGTACCATAGTCCCAGAGGATACCGTGGTCACTTGGCCTAACAGAGTCCAAAAAGACAGTGTTCTACATCCTACTTTGTTGAGTACCAACTGGGATCTTAAAAGCTCATGAGTGACCATCTAAGGTACAATTATTGGTTTGTCTGTGTGTGGAAGAAAGAATAATGTGAATGAAAGATGCTTGGAATCAATTAATCCAATGGACTAATGGGACATGTGAGCATAGTCTTCACGACTCTGAGACCAAAAGAATTAGATTGTGCCCAGCTACTACTACCAACTGCTCTGAAAGGGATCACATTAGAAGGTCCTATATAGATTGGCAGAAAATATAGAAAAAGACTCAGAATTATAAAAAAAGAACAGGCTCACTGGTCAGAAATAGACTTTTGGAACTTGAGACTATTGCCCTTGACTACCCTTCAGGTCTGGAAAGGAACTCACCCTTGTGGCCCAATTTCCAGCCAAGCAGTAAATAAGTATACTGGGGGAAGGAAGGACAACACTAGTAAGACCTGCTCACCACTGAATGTCAATTATTCTAAATCAAAAGGGCAACATTTACCTAAGGACAAAGTTGAGAAGGGATAGGTAGGTGGGTGGAATGGAAATATGAATCACAAGGAGGAAGTGGGATAACTGTTGTTGTACGGAGGGGATTGCAATCATTGAGATGAAAACAAAGTGTATGATTTGTTGAATGTAAAACTGATGATCTTGTGTCTAAATATTCACTCAATTAACAATAAAAAGTTTAAAAAATTATTCTTTTTTTGAATTGAAAATTTCTGCAATCCGCTATTTCTTGCTTTACTTCACAACTTTTAGATAAGGCTTCACATGTATTTATTTTTCTTTGTTGCGATTCAGGAAAATTTAAACCTTGCCCTGAATTCTGCCTCTGCCATTGGTTGCACAGTGGTCAACATTGGTGCACAAGACCTCAAAGAAGGAAAACCTCACTTGGTCTTGGGACTTCTTTGGCAGATTATCAAAGTTGGTCTTTTTGCTGATATTGAGATCTCCAGAAATGAAGGTAAGCTCACCCCAAATTTTTACTTTTTATTGACACATACTCACTATAGAAAGAACTGACATCTCATTGTTTTTCTCTCAGCACTGATTGCATTGCTAAAGGAAGGTGAAGAGCTAGAGGAGCTAATGAAGCTTTCTCCTGAGGAGTTACTGCTTCGGTGGGTGAACTACCACCTGACTAATGCAGGATGGCGCACCATCAGTAATTTCAGCAACGACATTAAGGTTTGTATTTTAATCCCCAAATATGTGAAATCAAGTAAGAATGTGTATTGTAAAACGATAAGGGCTTCAGACTTAAATTTGAATTGAATTTTAAGTCACAGGGGCACCTAGCATAAGAAATGAAATTTTACATTTCTCCCTCAGAAGTGGATCTCTGCAATAATAACATGTGGGTGTAGTCTTTGTCTGCCTTCTCTAACTTCTTGATGAGGAGAGAGATTCACCATCAGCTACAGCCTAAGACTGATTCTTATGCAGCATAGATCAGATACACTTCCACCCTCCCACCTTTTTACTAATTCTAACACCAACCATTCCTCCCATGATACTCTCTACTTCTCTGCTGGCTTCAGTACTTTGTTGCAATGGCGACCCAGAATTCACAGATCTGTCCCACAATTATGGGGTTTATTAAAGAAGATACTGATTACAATTCAGGATCAGGAATACTCAGGACAGCATCTCAGCAGTGTCTGCAGGCACACCCAGGCCTTGTGGCCTCTTGGCTTCTGCCCTGCTCCGAAAAGTGTTACAAAGGTCATTTAGTTCTGCTGACTAAGGGCCTAGAGGTACCACAGCCCCCAATTATAGTCACATAATCTATAGAAAAATAGAAACCAATTTATTAGCTTTCATAAAAAATAAAAGTGGCTGTGAAAAGAAAAATGAGGCCTGTTGGTGCTGTGACTTAAGCATTGGGCTGCTAACCTCAAGGTCAGTGCTTCAAACCCACCAGCTGGTCTGAGGGAGAAAGATAAGGGTAACTGTTCCTATAAAGATTTATAGTTTTGGAAAACCTTTATAGGGTCACTATGAGTCTTGAGAATGGGTTTTGGTGAGAAGAAGGAGGGACTATGAGAAGAAAGAGGGACTAGCCTCAGCCAATCAAAGCGGTCTTCCCTATTTTTTATGCCATTGTTGTTGTTGTGAAGTGCCATCGAGTCGGTTCCGACCCATAGCGACCCTGTATAGGGGTTCCGATGAGCAGCTGGTTAGCTTGAACTGCCGACCTTGCAGTTCAAACGGCTTTGCAGTCTGACACATTAACCCACAGCGCAACATCATAGTTAGGCTAAATTATAATGAGGATAATGTTATAATTTGGACTGAGAATTAACATCTGTTTGCTGGACTGCAAACACTTGCTTACCTGACCAATTCAACCTGGTACTCCCCACTTCACCAGTAACTGAATAACAGGAAACCAGATTACCTGAAGGGAATCAGAATGAATAGACAAAAGGGGTCTTGAGGAATGTCTTTCAACAAAACCAGCTAGAAACACTTCCCTCTGTATTAAGAGATACTTGATGAAGAAATCATCACATTCACACCTGCCTCTAATTCTTACCTAGTCAGGGCCTGGACGGGCATTGCCGGCTTAGATCCCTGTGAGTTTTTTTCCCTGTTTGCTTTTTTTGTAGGATAAGTAGTGCTCCATCTAATTCATGTTCCATCTTCTGATCTGTTAATACCTTTAGTCAGGTTAAGTTTTTGCCATAACAGCTTAGTTGACAAAATTTCTCTTCAAAAGAAGTAACAATGTATTTATTTTGTTAAAAGTTTATTTTTAGGGGCTCTCTTATTTTAAAATTCAGTTCAGCAGGCATTTATTGAACCTATCCTAAAGGGTATGATGATAGATATGGATGATGCAAAGATCAATAAGATACAGACACAGCTCTTGAGAAGCATAACAAACACACAGCAAGACAGACATCTAAATGGATATTTCAGTTATCTATTGTTGCCTAACAAACCACTCAAAACTCAATGGTTGAAAATAATAGCAATTTGTTATTTCTCATGTAGGTTTATGCTATATTTAGTTAGATACTTCTGCTTTCACATGGGTTTGGCTGGGATCACTAACTCAGTTGCATACAGTTGCAATTGGACTGGGATGGAAGGTGTACAAGCCATTATTCACATGTTTGGTGCCTTGGTCTATCCACATGACTAGCTTGGGCTTCCTTAAAGCATGATGGTCTCATATAGTTGGACCTCTTATATAGACGCTAACTTCAAGACAGAGGAAACAGAAACTCTTAATGCCTGGACTTGGAAATCATTGAATATCACTTTCACCACATTCTGTTGGTCAATACAAGTCACAGGCTAGCACAAATGTGTGTGTGTGTGTGGTGGGGGTGTATTTAACTCTATGTTTTGATAGAAGGAACTGTATATCAGAGGGTAAGTAAAAAAGTATTGCTATATAACATAGTTCACAATGTTCAACATTCTACTTTGGTGAATAGTGTCTGGGATCCTGAAAGCTTATGAGTGGCCTTCTAAGGTACAGCTGTTGGTCTCTCCATGAGCAGAAGAAAGAAGAGTGGTGAGAATCAAAGAAACTTGGAATCAATTAGTCCAACAGACTAATGGAACATGTAAACATCAGTCTCCATGACTGTGAGACTAGAAGAACTAGATGTGAAGAACTAGAAGAACTAGACTAGGAGAACTAGTGCTCGTCTAGCACTACCAACCAACTGCTCTGAAAGGGATCACATTAGAGGGGCCTGGATAGAGTGAGAGAAAATGTAGGAAAAAAGCTCAAAATTATTGAAAAGAAAAAAGATTGGGCTTAGTGGTCAGAAAGAGACTATGGCCCTCAACCACTCTTCAGGTCTGGAAAGGAACTCACACTGATGGCCTAATTTTCAGCCGTGTAGTAGATAGATGTGTAGGAGGGACAACAACACTAGTAAGGCATGCTCACCACGGAATGGGTCAATCACTAAAAATCAAAAGGGCAACATTTACTTAAGAACACAGTTGAGAAGGGATGGGAAGTTGGGTGGAATAGAAATTGGAAACACAGGGAGGAAGTGGGATACTTGTTGCTGCATGGAAGGGATAGCAATCATTAAGATGAAACAAAGTGTGTGATTTGTTGAATGTAAAATTGATCATCTTGTCTGTAAATCTTTACTCAATTCACAATAAAAAGGTTTTAAAAGAAAGTATTGCTACAAAATTATTGAAAACTGTATTAAACAAAAATATCAAAATGTGAGGAAGCTATAATTGGACATATCCTGCAACTGGGTCTATACACTTCTGAAGGTGGTGTTTCCATCTCTCTAATCCTTTCCCAAAGAATTCTGTACTCATGGATTTGCAACAGAATGGCAGTTTTGGCATCCTCAAGGACTTAAATCATATTCTTTTACAATTTTCTTTGAGTTTGGGGATCAAAAAGAAGTCTGACGGGGCACCATAAAAGATGACAGGGTAAAGTGTCCCAATGCAATCCTCATGGAACAGCCCAAAACTACACTTGAATAATGAGCCTGTGCATTATTGTGATGGAAAATAAATTCCTTGGTGCAACTTTCCTGGCCTTTTTCTCACCAATGCAGTTTTCAATTTTCTTGACATTTCATCATAATCTCCCTTAATCACTTCGCACCCTGCAAGAAATCTACCAAGAATTCCTATTTGGAATCCCAAAAATCAGTCACTGCATTCTTTTTTGAATTTAAGTGGCTTAGCGTATTACTTTGAAAGCCACTGCTTTGTTTGGATATTTTTTAAGGCACCCTAGCAAGATGAGGACAAGTGTATTACAGAGAAAACTTGTCTGCAGCCATCTACTGATCGCAGTGACATGTTTAAACATATTTCAATGAGAATAAACTGGTGCATGTATAAACTGGAACCCTAGTTAGTAGCAAGTCTCCTTTTTTAAGGTTTTGTGGATTGAGAAAGTTTACATGGCAGGTCATCAGTTTTACATTCAACAATCATATACCTTGTTTTATTACAACAATTATAATCCTTTCTATGTACCATCAGATAACAGTATTTCTCTCTATTCATTTTACCTCTTTTTTTTTTTTTTTTAACACTCAGGCATATATGATAATGTATACCACCAAACAGCATGTTCTGCAAGTCTGCCTCCTGGCCATCAGCTCTTTGTCCCTGTCTTCCTATGAATCTAGAGTCCTCAGCTGCTCCCTCTCTCCATGTCCAGCAGTGCTTTTTTACTTTAATATATAGAGGGAGGAATTATGATAACCATCTTTGGAGAAACCTGTATTAGATAATTTAACAGTGTGACCACTGCTTATTATCAATAGAGGTGATAGGTGCTGTATACTTAGTTCATTTTAGAAAAAACAGGGAAGGCTTCCGGGAATTAATACCTGATTTGATAACTGATGAGTAAACCAAATGCCAAAAGTGAGGAAAGGTGTTTCAGTTTTAGAGAAAAGCATTATTGGAATCTCAGAGGGATGACCCAGAATGGCATGTTTAGAGCTCTACAAGTAATTCTGTATTCTTTAAGTAAAGCTTCTAAGTTATTAGTATATTCTTTGGGATGGAGATAGTTTCCTCAATTTGAGAAAAAATTTTTTCTATGCTTAATGATGATTTTGTTTATTTAAAAAATGTATTTCATTTCTTTCCTTGAAGGATTCAAGAGCCTATTTTCACCTGCTTAATCAGATTGCCTCTAAAGGTGATAGGGACGGTGGACCTGCCATTGCCATTGACCTTTCAGGGTTTAATGTGAGTATAATTTTTAGAATGCAGTCCTCTAGAACCCTCAGCCCTTCATTAAAACTTGACCTTTTGCTTGTCAAAAAGTTTTTCCATACCCTAGGCTCCAAGTCTCCAGCCTGAGCCACCAGGCTGTCATGACTGAAGAGAGGGATTGAAGAATTCTGGCATTGAGTATGTGTGGAATCAACTCTACATCCTTGTTTTCCTGGTGCAACACAACTGGAATATACCAGACTGCTACTAGATTGATAACCTTGTCAATTCTGCTAAATTAAGTTCCCATGGGTGGTATAGTTTGTTCTTGGCTGGCAGTTTGAACCCACCCAATGCCACCATTGAAGAAACACCTGCCAATCTTCTTCCATAAAGACTGCAGTCAAAAAAACCCTATGCAACTCAATTCTGTTATGACACATGGGGTTGCATGAGTTGGAATTGACTTGATAACCAAGGTTTTTTTTGTTTGGTTTAGTTTCTACTAAGTTATCTTTGGAAATCACGTCAATTAAAAGCAGTTCCTAATATTTGTGATGTAAGAAGGATTGGTACAGATTCTGACCAACCAAAGCCATTTGCTAGGAAATATGTTTAGTATACATTATAAATACCAGGGCCGCTTTTACCTAAGCATTAAAAATATGGTCAGGCTATATATAGTTTGAATGAAAATCTGTTAAATACTTAAAGTACAAGATCTATGGTTTTAAAGGCAGATTGAGTGAATCATTACTAATTAATAATACATTATTATGAAATGTCTCATAAACATAGCATTGAAAGATTATGGAAAATTTGCCAATTATTTTCAAGTTCTTAAAAAACTAGGAACTTAAAAAAAATTATGGAACAATTTCAAAATAAACAAGTGTACATGGGCTCAGTTTAGTAGACTGAACTCCTGTGTATTATTCTCCAGGTTCAGAAATGATCACCATGTGATCAGTCTTGTTCCATTTGTCACCTACATATTTCTTCCCTCTTCTGCATTATTTTGAAGCAAATCGTAGCTATCTTACAATTTCATCTATAAATATTTCAATATGAATTATTTATTTCTAAAAGATAAAACTTAAACATCATAATACTTTATCTTAGTTTAAAATGAACAATAGTGATAATAATATCTGATGTTGTTGTTATTGTTGTTCAGTGCCTTAGAGTCAGTTCCAACCCAAGTGACCCTGTGTAGGGTTTCCGAGGAGTGGCTGGTAAGCTTGAACAGTCGACCTTGCAGTTCAAACCAAGTGTGCAGTCCAGTGCATTAACCCACAGTGCCACATCAGGACTCCGATAAGATCTAATAGGCACATTTTCAACTGTCTCAGAAATGTCATTTTAAAAATAGTTTGAATTAAAACCTAAGGAAGGTCTCAATCCAATAAAACTATGATTTGTTGATGGTATGATGCTGCAGCATAATGCACTGGACTGCAAGGTCAGTTTGAACTGCAGTGTTGGTGGTTCGAACCCATCAGCCGTTCCTTGGAAATCCTGTACAGGGTCACTATGCGTCAGAACTGACTCGAAGGCACTTAACAATAACAACAACAACTCTGAGACTTTTTCATTGCTTAATAGTATTGAACCTCTTGCCTTCTCTGTTTTCATTTTTTTGCAACATTGGTGCACAAAAATAAACCATAATTTTTGGTCATGATATACTTTCATCATGAATCTATGTATGCTCCTTTATTTATTTTTGTTTGTGGTATTTGTTTGATATTTAAAATTAGAATGAGTCAGCATGAACACTTAATTCAACAGGAAAACTAAGACCTTGACATTAATTACCAGTTAGCAGTTACAGTTCTCATCTTTCTTCCTTACCCCATGAGAGCCATTATCTTGAACCTTGCATGCATTGTTCTTTTTTGTATTGTTTCCATAAATTTTTAGCTTACCTTTTAACTTAACATCAAGCTTTATCATGTTGTACTTAAGTTCCTAGTACATATTTTTGAAATTATTATTAAATTGCTAAGATTTTTGCTTGTATGATTGATTATATCACATCTTTATTTATGTTGTCTTGTATTGACAGGCATTTGTTTTGTTTCTATGATTTTGTAATTATGTAAAGTGCTGTTTCTTTTGATTTTAGTATTTTTAATGTGTATTCCAACCTATTTTTTTATTACTGAGAAAAAAGTCATTTGGAAATAGCACTCAGGGTAGGATGGGTAAAATAACTAGGCCTCTTATCTACACAAGGCACTCTAGTAGGTGACCTTGAACAAATTACCTAAAGTCTTGACCAGCAAGAACTTTGTTGTTGGTGGTAAGTGTCTTCGAGTCAGTTCCCATGCACAGCGACCCAGTACAGGGTTTCCAAGGACAGGCCGTTGAATTTGAACCACCAATCTTGTGGTTCAAACCGACCTTGAGTTTGAGTGCTTATCCTAGGGAGCCACACCAGGACTCCAGTAAGAACTAAGTGGAATAATATTTGACAATTTTGTTGAGTATTACAGGAACAAGGAGTCCTGTTGCAGCGCTGTGTACAGCCTCTTGATGAGTTGAACTGACTGTGCTGCACCTAACAACAAAAACAACAGGAATGAGTGTGAAATGTAACTCAGTGACACAGCAAGATGATGCTTTATTGATTTACAAAAGAAATGGGGGCATTGATTTGGAAATCTTGCACATTCTGACCTTATTTTGACCTGTTATTTGATCTATTTCCAGAAAAGTAATAGCTTAGAAATATGTATATAAATTAAAAATATCAATCAAAAGTTTGATTTTTGACTGTTTTTGTTGAATTTCATTGTTTAGGAGAAAAATGACCTGAAGCGTGCTGGATTCATGCTTCAAGAAGCAGATAAATTGGGCTGCAGACAGTTTGTTACTCCTGCAGATGTGGTTTCAGGCAATCCTAAACTTAATTTAGCTTTTGTAGCTAATCTGTTTAACACATACCCATGCCTACACAAGCCTGATAATAATGACATCGATATAAATTTATTGGAAGGTAAGATCTTTCTGCTTTAAACTGACTCACTGTATTTATCTTCTTGTGGCACTGCCCTTCCACACTGTCAGGTAGGGGATTGTGGTGGGAGAAGAAAGTTAGTGGGTGTAAATATGTATATTCATTACAACGTTCAAATTACAAAAAGTAGATGTTGGTTTTGGCTAAAAGAGAATGCTGGAGTAATCTTATCTGTTGTTTCCAGATAAGTGAAAACTAGAATTTGTTTGAGATTTTCTCTTAAGTGATCACATAATAGTAATTCCACCACCAATATGGACAATAAACTATCTCTTGGAATAAATAATTATTTGTAGCTCTTTTTTCCCCCCTCCTTTGGAAACTACAGTTTGACTCCAGTATCATTCTCTTTTTAATGTTATGTACATGAAAAAATTTACAGTATTCATTACTTGTCTTGTTGTGTGTGGGCTGTCATTACCTGTCTCATAATTTATAACACTTTCCTATTTTGCTTTGTGAAATGCAGATTTGACCCCTCCTAATGTAGGTACTGTATTTAGTACTTTTCTATACTCTATATATTCATTCTGAATGTTGTTTTTTATTAGTACCTTTTATTCTTTCATTCTGGGTTGGTATTTATCTTTTGCATTGTTCATGCTGTGTTACTTCTGTCTTAATATGCCTATATAATGAATGACTAGAAGCAAGGAACATAAATGAAATGAAGCTTAATGAAAATAGCAGAGCAAGGCTTTGATTATGTAAACTTGCCACCTAATTTGCCTTCTATAACGATGGGATATTGCAGTTGTAAACACATTAGGAGCCATTTCTGTGTGACAACTGCATTTCATGATTTGATGTAAATTTTGCATCCCTTTCCTGTGATAACTAATCTTTGAAAGAACTCATTTAGATTCTAGAACATAGATTATATAATATTATTTTAGGTACGCTACATTTACTGAATGTCATTGATGCTTACAATATACGAATTGTCATAATGACAAAACGTTCTTAATAGCTAGTTCTCTTTCTCCTTATCTATGTTTCTTGGTCTCTCCTTCCTTCCTTCTCCCATTCTCACACCCTCACCCACATGCATACCAACACCCACAATGAAGGGAAAGGTGGCAGCAATTGTAGCAGTTGTTGGGGGAAGGGATCAATCCTAAGGTTTCCTTTCTTGTCCTGGTTTGGAGAAGGAAGTCTTGAAGGAGGGATTCTTCTTGGTGAGGAGAATTTTAATTGGCAGCGTTCAGTCTCTCACATCACCATCCTCACTCTTCTTCCCCAGTGAGATAGGAGAAATTAGTTACATGATCTTTTTCCTTTGGACTGCCACAACCAGTATTCCATTGTCTTTGTCACTTCATATGTAATATTATTTTGTTTAATGAAAAGTTTCAGAATTAAAGAATTTATATGAGGACTATGACTAATTCATGCTTCCCAAGGTCTGGTAAAATAAAATAAAAATTATATTCACACATAAATATGTAACGGAGAAGGAAAATAGACAAAATGTAGATTTTTTTTCAGCAAACAGAATTATAGGATAAGGGATTAGAACGAAAACTATTAAACAAAAAGGAAAACTGTTAAGTTTTTATCAGTCTGGAAAATTTCAAAATTCCTTTGTGTCTTAACAGTAGAAGGCACTGTTTAGAGTGGCATATTAAAAATGATCTTCTTTTTATAGTCCCTGAATTCTTGCTAGATACCTTTTCCAACTTGCTCGCTATCCTGTTTGTCATGTTTGAATTCTTTTGCTAGTGTTCAGCATGCTTTTGAAATTTTTCAGTGTGAACAGGATTGCTCAATATTTCCATTAGTATTCACTGTGTTTGTGTAAGCAAATTATGTGGGAAATATTTATCAATCGTCTTTACTTAGAACATATGTATGTCCTGATACATCTCCCCCAAATATATTTGACTTTGACTGTCATTGGAATTTTTCTTCTCTAAATTTGTTTTTATAGATCCTTCTGAAATTTGAAACTTGACCTTATTATATCCCAAATTCATATATTAGTATGTCCTCATTGGCAAAAAATATATAACGCTAGGTAATTAAAGAAAATTCAAAGTCCAATTAAGTATCTGACCTTTATATCAAATTGAATAAACTATGTGGGCCACTTGTAATAAGACCATCTCAGAGTTCATTTGTGGTGACAGAAAGTACAGAGGCCACAGAACTAGACAGAGTGGGCTCAAATCATGGTTTTACTATTTGATATTTCAGAGACCTCTGTGAGCCTTGGTTTTCTCATAGTTGTTGTTGTTAAGTGCTGTCAAGTCAGTTCTGAGTCACAGCGATCCTGTATAGGGTTTCTGAGGAGCAGCTGGTGGGTTTGAACTGCCAACCTTGTGGTTTGCAGATCAGTGCTGATCCTACAGCACCACACCAGGAGGCCTACTATTTACTTTGAAGAGCTGTAGAACAAGTTGGATGTGATTAGAAATGAAAAGCATAGCACACTATGGTCAGGCAGGAGGAGGAAAGCACCCAGTAGCACTTAGTGAGCTTTCAGTAGTGGGGTGTTATCTTCTCTTTCCTCTTAGTAGCCTACTTTTTAATATACTCTTTATTTTCTCTGAGACTTTTATCAATTGCAGATGTTAGTTTGACCCTGTAAGCTTAAGAAATGTTTTATAGTTCTTTCCATCTTGTGTATCAGCAGTTAAGATTTTATTTCCAAGATTACTTGAGTTGTCCACAAATTCTGATAAGAGTTTCCAATCTGGAATACATATGTTTTTGCAGTACTTTAGTATGGCTCTTGCAACAACGCATAGTGCTTCTGGCTTTGAGCATTTATTTACTCAGGCAATTTGAAAAGATTTTAAATAAATACTACTTATAAAATCTGCTTTACTTTCCAGGTATCAGAAGTTAAAAGTAGTAATTATGTAATTGACTGAGGAAAAAGTAGGAAAAAATATGAATTTATGAAGCATAAAAGAGTTTCCTAACTCCATCAAATATAAGCTCATTTAAAAATATATATTATTCACTGCTTCATCAGGCTCAACAGAATTTAGATATTACTTTAACTTCAGCTTTTGTGATACACTATTTATAATTTTAAAATGTACAGTAATTTAGATTCTCCTGGCTGGAAATAATATACAAATTCTCTAATTACTATAAGAAAAAAATATATAAATAGCAATATAACTATAGCAGATAGATATAATTAGAGAAAAAACTAAAAGGCAAATCTAAAGACACATGCATCCAACTTTTAATCATGGTATGTTGGTTTACATCCCTTTGAGGACAGTTCAAATCTTTAATTCACACTGTTCAATAACGCCTACAAACAAGACAAGCATACATTCTAGGAATACTTCATTTAACTTGATTTAAAAAAAATTCTCATACAAGTTGTTTATTAGATATAGCAGACTGAGGCAGAAAATTAAGCAAGAAATGATGAGACTATAGAATAGTGTAAGAATTGAAGCAGATTCTGAGGAAGCAGGTCATGGTATTGAAAACTTCATGAAAATGTAATGGACGGTTTATCTTCTCAACAATAGACATATAATAGAGTCCTTTCGATCTTGCACGTGTTTTGATCCTATTCTGGGCTGTTGTTAAGTGCCTTTGAGTCGGTTCCGACCCATAGCAACCCTGTACAGGGTTTCCGAGGGTATAAATCCTTATGGGAGTAGAAAGCCTCATCTTTCTCCCACGGAGCAGCTGGTAGTTTCAAACCACTGACCTTAAGGTTCGCAGCTCGATTCGTAACCACTACGCTACCAGAGCTCCCTGGTGTATATTGCCTGTGGCACTTGCCTTGACTGAGGGGATAGCTCTGTAGGAATGGGCCCCTGGAGTATGGACAGTTGGAGATTTATATGCCAAATACCCTCACATGGGCCCAAATCTAAAGAGTCAGCTGAACTTGCTATGGCTTAGGAGTGATGAGAGATGTACCATAAATCTTTTTCCAGGAGTTTGGTAATCAGATGGAGGCTAGGACATTCCATTATCATCTAACTTTGCTAAGAGGAAAATAATACTATAGTCACTTAGGACTATTTGAAATCCAGAGGATGACAAGAAGGCAGATGGAACATGGATAGCTCCTATCTCTGCCTACTTTGTGGCTATTTAATCCATATCTTCCTTTCAGATGGTGTAAGCACTGCTATGAAGGAATGCTTGAGGAGCTTAGGCTATCCTAGGTTACATAATAGTGCCTGCAGCAACAGTATCCTTAAGGTAACCTGTACAGTCCAGAGATATGCTATGATGAATTGTGTCTTTCTCTTAGCAAGTTTTGTGGGGGCTGTATATTGGAAAATTATATATTTCCATATATTAATCATTTGTACAGGTAAATCTTTTACTGTTTCAACTTTATAGTCAGGACGCGATTTTTTGAGTCTCAAACTGTAGTATGTTTGAAATCTCAGAAAGCCTGTAAAATAGTTCTGTTCCTCATAACATATTTTTATGTTACCTGTCGTTCCTGCTCTCCTTCCCTGCTGCTTGGTATGATTAAAATGTAGGTTTGTATACTCAGACATTTTCCTATATAAAACCAGCACCACATTGGGGAAGGTATAGCCTTTGAATTTCCACTTAATATCTTAATGCTACCCTAACTGCTAAAAGAGTTTGTTAAAGTTTAGCTGCTCCTTTTCATAGTTAACCATAAATACAATGTACTTTTCTGGACAGAGAAATCCATGGTTCTAGTAATTCATACACATCAACAAAGGAACATACACGGAGACATTTAGAACAAATGGAGGCTTCCCACACAGTGGGGAAAGGGGACTTTTTTCCCCTTAAGGAAATTATAGTGTTACAGGAACTGTGACGAAGTATGTAAACCTGTCAGAATGGTTCAAAATAAAGTTTCTGATTCTTTTTGTCATGAATCATCAGTGTGAACTTGTGTCTACTATAGGGGAGAGCAAGGAAGAGAGGACATTTCGGAACTGGATGAATTCCTTGGGAGTCAATCCATACATTAATCATTTGTACAGGTAAAGCTTTTACTGTGTCAATTTTATAGTCAGGACATGATTTTTTGAGTTTTCAAATGGTAGTATGTTTATATGAGAACATTTTCTAAACTTACAAGAACTTTAGCCAACATTTAGAGTTTCATAATACCTGGGGGATTGACAAAACAATGGCTTTTCACAAAGTATCTGAAAAGAAGAGTTGGATAGTGTCAGTTATCATTTTTAAAAAGTTATATATCTTACTACATTGATATTGATCAGGGAAGCAATATAGTTCTCTAGTTTTAACAGGTTAGAATGACAGTATTATTTGAGCAAATTATTTTTTTATCATATCAACATTTATAATTTTAGTTCACATTCTTTTCATCTATTTTTGGGGGCCAGAAATCCTCTCTCACTCTATAATTTGTTGTATATATTTTACAAGTTGTAAAAATAACTTGATTTCTGTGAGTAATGATTATAATTTATTTTATTCCTAGTTTTAAAATGACATCAAATTGTTAGTACTAAAAGATTATTATGCTGAATCACTCACAGTGCGGTCTGGTGGTACTAACAGTGTACAATGTATCTCCTTCTAAGATGTGGATGGGACGAAATCTTCTCTCTTCATTGCAGAACCTACCAACTTGCCTTGAAAAAATGCAAACGAACTCAACTTCAAAAAATAATTGCATATTTTTAGGCAAAAAATTGAACTGAATCTATTAATAATTTATACATAAAGGGAACATTTTGGTCAGGATTAAGTGACTTATTGTTAAAATGTGAATGAAAGCAAATATCAAAGACACTAAGTTCAGTGGCTGAGGATTTATGATGCAATTTCTGCACTTTGGTGTATGAAGGAGCGTCAATAAGTTTGTGGAAAAAAGTAATTATCTTTTAATTCCATTTTCCCACAAACTTTTTCAAACCTCTCATATATTCAAACTCTTCTTTAGAATCTAAATCCAGTATTTCCTTATTGTAACTGGCTTTGATGTGATGGGCTCATTCTTTGAAAACTCTCAAAGAATATGTAAATTCAGCTAGATGAAAAAAGATGTAATTTAGATGAGTACTCCCGTTACAGTAGCTGGGCAGTTGTTGTTGTTGTTGTTAAGTGCCATCGAGCTGGGCAGTAAAGCACTCAAATATTGGAGGTCAGATCTTTTATGGACTAAAGAATTCCGTAATACATAATGGAAAGGAAGTCTATAACATAATTGCGAGAAAAGAGCAAAGGTGTAATATGATCTCATTTGTAATTGAGTTAGAAATTTTACTATTTGTATCTGAATATTAAAAAATATATGGAGGAATGCTGCCTTAGCTTTCTAAGCTGCCATACAAGATACACATAAGTGGGTGACTTTAAAGAACATAAATTTGTTTTCTCACAGTTCTGGAATCCAAAAATCAAAATCAGGGTTTCAGTCTTCGAAGTTTTCTACAAGTTAATTCTGAAATTTATCTTGAAGTCTCTGAGCTTTAAATAATAATATGATACTACACTTAACAACAACATCGGTATGTATAAAGGAGCCCTTGTAATAAGCAGGATAAGCACTGAGTCGATTGCAAACCTACCAGCAGGAGAAAGATGAAGCTTTCTGCTCTTAGAAAGATTTATAGCCTCTGAAGTGTGCTATACAGGGTTGCTAGGAGTCAGAATTGACTCAATGGCAATAGGTTTTGGTTTGGATATGGGTATAAGAATGTATTCATTTAAACCACAAAAGACAAAATTCATGAAATAGGTGAGATTTTAGAACTTGTACACATCCTTCAGTGATTTTTAAAAAAAATTAAATACAAGATGCTCCTTATTCCTATAGAGATAAGCTAGTCAGCGCTTACTTTATTCTGATGTTAGACTTTCTCCTGCTATTACTCACCACTGGGCCACTCACTTCTCTTCAGTGCCATATGGTGTGTGCTCAGAAAACGCAAAGTAACTTGAATATAATCTTAGCGAAGCATAAATCATCAGACAAGTTGTTGAGGAACAGTTACATAATACACCGCAGAGGTTGTTGTGTTGTATAGGATTCCCAAAGAGTGACTAGTGGGTTTGAAATGCTGCCCTTGTGATTGATTATTCTAATGGACCATACCAGGGCTCCATTGTCCTTAGTACACAGAACTGATAACAGACTCTACAGACATACTTTGAACATCTCAAAACAACATGTTTTTCTGAATCCAAAGTAGTAATTGTCTCACTTCTTGTACTTGTTCCTAAACGCTTTCCTCTTCTTGCATTATTTTTTTTTTAAACATGAACAGTTGTCTGAGTAACTATTGTGACTTTCTTACAATTATATTTTAAATCTAAGAAAAATCATAATATGTAAGTCATGTATGAACTCATTTTAACTACAGAAGTTTCAGGATGCATATAACTAAAAAAGTATACGCTAATTTTCCCTTGTCTTTTTCATACTCCCTTTTTCCCTTCCTAGGGATAGTCCCTACCCTAGATCATTCTTAAATTAAAATAAATAAATAAATGGGATCAAACTATTTGCAGTGCTTTTTAAAACTTAGTATGTATTGTAAAGCTTTCATACAGTCCATACAGATCTTCCTAATCGGCCTTATGTATACCCAGGAATTCATTATCTGAGTAGTCATTCAACAGATCCCTACTGCCAGGTATTAGTTTCCAGATTTATAAAGACTGGCAATGTACATGTACATTGTCTGTATATATGAGGGAGTTCAAAAGTTTGTGGAAAAATGGAATTTAAAGATAATGGAATGTTTCTATGACCTTTTTGAAGACCCCTCATATATATCCTATAGTGCCACACCACCAGGACCACATACGCGCACACATACACACACACACACAATCCTGGTGTGTCACTGTAGGATAAACACTGGACTGCTAACCACAAGGTTTGTGGTTGAAATATATTTAACAACTCTATATACATAGTTGTTATTAAATATATATATAAAGGAGCTCTGGTAGTGTAGTGGTTATGAGTTGGGCTGCTAACCTCAAGGTCAGCAGTTCAAAACTACCAGCTGTTCTGCAGGAGAAAGACGAACCTTTCTGCTCCTGTAAAGATTTACAGCCTCAGAAACTCTATAAAGGGTCACTGTGAGTTGGAACTGACTCCACAGCACACAACCTCCACGACCATATATTATTTATTTATATTGTTTTTGTTGTTATGGGCTGTGGAGTCGGTTCCGACTCATAGCAACCCTGTACAGGGTTTCCTGGTGAAGTTGGTTTGAACTGCAAGATCAGTGTTTGAAGCTCACCAGGCACTCCTTGGAAACCCTATGCAGGGTTGCTATGAGTCGGAACCAACTCAATGGCACTTAACAACAACAAACAACATATATGTAGTTATTGTTGTTAAATGCCACAGAGTCGGTTCTGACCAAGGAGTGACTGGTGGGTTTCAACTGCTGACCTTGCCATTAGCAGTCTAATGCTTATCCTTCAGCACCACACCAGTACTCCCGTGATATCCATAGGCATAGTTTGGAAATGGGTCGCCTGTCATTATAGTGGACTATTCTGAGATCAAGGTTAAAGAAATGCTACCACAATTTATGGAAAATGTAGAAAAAGGAATTAAAAATTAACATTAAGGATACACTACTACATGTCCATGCAAGTTGCTTATTATATGATTTCACAAGGAAGGGGTGCTGTAAAAATAGTTAATACAGTAGTTGTTCAGTTTAAGCCTCTAAAAAATACAGTAAGTGATAAAGGAGTACCCAGTCTCCATTTTTCATTTTTCAAAAATGTTGGTTATGGAAAGCAGCACCACACTAAATTGTTGTCATTATTGAGTGGCTTACTTAATGAGTATCATATTAAACTAAAGATGAGTTGTTACCTAGAGAACAGAAAGATCTTAACTATGTCTACCTTTACAAAATACAGGTTTTAAAATCAGTCTTTGACTACATCTAGAAATTTCCAGCATAATAAAAAAATTCACTTTACTGTTTACAAATTAGAATGATTTGCCAGGGTACAAATACTGAATATCAGTAGTATAGTTCAGATAATATTTTGATGCTATGTTTAGAAGATTCAATGTTATTTGGTCACATTACTTCTGTCATGCAGGTACATGGTCTAGTGGACAGTGTTTGAGATAAATGGGTTTTAGCAAGCATTAACCTGTTAAAACTTGCATCAAAATTTAATTATTATATTTTCATAATTTTATACAAGGTGTCATAAGATGTAGGTATGTGTCTTTCAGTAGCTAAACTGATAGCCCCTTAGAAAGTATTATTCACTTGCATTTCCAGTATGAATGAGTACTGTTATATTTACCCATTTGTAAATAACAGGAACAAAAAGCCCAAGAGATCCAACAATTGAAACCTGTAGGAACATCCACAAAAACATCCAATCAAGAACCCGGGCTATGAATTTCCAATCTTTTATTTTTTTAACTGACTCCTTCAAAACATCCATTTGCAATATAACACAAAGCAATGTCTGAGGTCCAGATAGAGTCTGAAGGGACACATATAACTTTTATTCCACCATAATCCATGGGGTTTTATATATTTATGGAGCTTTGGTAGCGTAGTGGTTATGAATCAGGCTGCTAACCTCAAGGTCGGCAGTTTGAAAGTACCAGCTATTCCGTGGGAGAAAGATGAGGTTTTCTGCTCCCGTAAAGATTTGTGTCTTTGGAAATCCTGTGTAGGGTCACTATGAGTCAGAACTGACTCCATGGTACTTAACAACAAAAAATATTTATATAAATGGACATTAAGGATATGCTACTACATGTATATACATATATTCTTGTTGTTAATTGTCTTTGAGTTGGTTCCTACTCATTATGACCCTCTATAGGGCTTCCAAGCAGCAACTGGTGAGTTTTAACTGGCAACCTTATGGTTAGCAGTCCAGTGCGTAGCCTACAGTGCCATACCAGGACCCCATATGTGTGTGTGTGTATATATATGTATGTGTATATGTATATCTATGTAAACATTTATGAAAAAATTTTCATAACTCCTAGATTGAAAATTCTGGGTCAAATGATAGATCCTGCAGTTTGTTAAGTATTAAATGGCCCATCTGCAGTGTGTTTAATAAAATTAGATGGCACCAAAATGGCCTCCTCCTTCATTTGCTGTACTTTTCTGTTTCTAGTGACCTTACAGATGCACTAGTGATCTTTCAGCTTTATGAAATGATTCGTGTGCCAGTCAACTGGAGCCATGTCAACAAACCTCCTTATCCTGCTCTCGGAGGGAACATGAAGAAGGTGAACAAAATAATGACCATGGATATGTTGTTACTGTTTTAATATAAAAGAGGATTCAGAATTTATAAGCTTGTAAAAGTAGCTCTGGTGGTGCAGTAGGTTATGTGTTGGGCTACTAACTGCTAACAGCAGTTCAAATCTACCAGCCGCTTCACAGGAGAAAGATGAGGCTGTCTTCTTCTTTAATGATTTACAGCCTCAGAAACCCTAGGAGCAGTTCTACTCTATCTTATGGTGGTGGTGGCTGTGTGCCGTGGAGTTGGTTCTGACCCACAGCGACCCTGTAATAGGGTTTCCGAGGCTGTAAATCTTTACGGGAGCAGAAAGCCTCATCTTTGTCCCGTGGAACAGCTGGTAGTTTTGAACTGCTGACCTGGCGGCTTGCAGCCTGATTCATAACCACTGTGCTACCAGAGAGCTCCTTACTCCGTCCGATATGGTCACTATACGTCAGAATCAACTTGATGGCAGTGGATTTGACTTTTGATGGGCTAGCTCGGGAAAATGTGGTCTGTCCCCATGATACTGATTCAAACCAAAATGTGATAGCCTTTGTTCACATTTGCTGTAATAAATGTTTGGAAAAATAAAGCTAGTCTCCAGTCAGATACTTTATAAAACTCTTTTTCTCTTTAGTAAGTTGTAGTACTGAGTTAATTTCCTAGAGAATACACTATAAGTCCATTCTTTTTTATAATCATCGTAACTTCCCAAATCCTTGCTGATTATTCATTTATACTTTGAGCAGATATTTATTCATTATCTATTACCTGTACATTGAATTGCAGGAAATAAAAAAGTGTAAGGCATGGACTTGATCCTCAAAGCCATTAGGAAATGGAGGAGATAAGATAGTTGGGAAAACAGCTACAGTGAAGTGCCATGTAAGCAAAAGTGAATGTTATGAATTCCAAGGAAGGAAAGACCACTGGCTATACTTACCATGAAAAGCATCAATGAGGAATTGGTATTTGGAAATACTAGAATTACCTTAGGAGACTGGAGAGGAACAGACTGAGGATTTAGGAAACAACAAACTCCAGCAGCAGCGGCAACAAGCACAACTGGAAGAGGCTTTAAAATGCTGTTTGCATGATGTCCAAATCATATAATGTCCATGTTCACAGAACATACCATAGACATTAAGCAAAGCATACCTGTATGTATGTGTATATATATGAGGGGGCTTCAAAACGTTTGTGGAAATGGAATTAAATGATAATAGATTTTTTCCATGAACTTTTGAACCTCCCCTCCTATGTAAAAAGCTGAGTACTAGACAGTGCGTAAGACTTATAAAATAAGTAGTATAGGAGTCCAAAAGAAAAAACATTGGTACTCTTAAAGTTAAACCTTTGTGGAAGAAAGTGGGCCAAAAGATGATTTCAGAGGATGAAAATGATCTGCATAAAGAATATATGGAGCAAAGTTAGGTTCTTAATGAATTAAACAGTGTTTTCCCTTCAATCCCTTAATTTTTAAACACAGCAATATTTTTATCTGTATTTATAGGATGCTGGCAACCTAGGGGTTTAGTCACAGATTTACCACTAGCGAGCTGTGTAATCTTAACCAAGGCACACACTTAAGACTTATAGGATAGGAGGGGATCTTAAAGATGATTTAACCCAGCCCCCTAAGAACATTTCAGCTCTTAAAAAATTTCCAACCAGATATTCTGTTTAGCCTGTGCTTAACCCCTCAATTTTTTGATATCTTCAAATATAATGGAAATAGCCATTTCTAATTCTGACATAAATTTAAAGTAAGATTATTATTTTTCAGATTTTTGAACTAGGCTGATACATTCTAGGACTATGTTTTTTTTAAAGATTTGTTTTTATTTAAAAAAACGTTTTGTTTACTTATAGATTGAAAACTGTAACTATGCAGTGGAACTTGGGAAGAATAAGGCCAAATTCTCTTTGGTTGGCATTGCTGGGCAGGACTTAAATGAAGGGAATCCAACACTTACGCTAGCATTGATATGGCAGCTGATGAGAAGGTAAAGGCTGATGAGATAGTTAAATGTTATTTAAATGCTTATAGCAACATTGTCAGTTTCCTTCAACAAGTCATTTGAATGAAAATGTTAGCTTTTTGAAGAATACTGAGAACAGAAGAAATATACAGTATAAAACAACTCTTAATTTAAAAATGATTTACTGCTCATCATTTTTTGTAAGTCATACTTAATTTTAAAAATGGGTCAGTCTCTGGAAATAAACTTTTATTAATACCTATTATAAATTATTTCATAAGGAGTTATTTTATTTTTAAAAATTGATTAGTGAGCTTTGTAGCTGAGATGTATCCAAGCAAATAGCAGACTAAAATTAGAGATATCTATCAGAACTGAAGTAGATCTGAAATATTTATGTAAGTACTAACATAAGTGATACAAGAGCAAATTTCACCTGTTTCAATCTCAAGTATGTACCTTTCTGTTGCAGGTATACATTGAATGTGTTATCAGATCTTGGAGAGGGTGAAAAAGTAAATGATGAAATTATTATTAAATGGGTCAATCAGACTCTTAAAAGTGCAAACAAAAAAACTTCTATCACCAGCTTCAAGGTAATCAGATGATCATTTAAAAAATTTTTTTGTAAGAAACTTAAGTTCAGAAAAGAATTCTTATTGGGCATTACATTGGTGTAGGTTCGGAAATACATTAATGTTTATCTCAGCACTTCACAATTTAGTAGTTTATGCTAACTGATTATTTGGTATGTATGACCCCCAAACACTCTGTTTAAATTCTTATATTTTTGATTGGTTGTTTATTTTTGGTAAACACAGATTAATAGTATCAAATCTGATAATCTAATCTTAAGAAAATAAATAGAGCTAAAAGAATCCAATTGTAGATGCAAAAGATAAGAAGTCATTGTTTATATAGGACCTATAATGTTTTGTACTCCCTAGCAGCAGTCTCAGAATTGTATTGACATCATTTCCAAGGCATAACAGAGCCAGCCAAACTGATTCAAGTGGGAATTGAGAAAACTGGTAGGAAAAAAAAAAAAATCTTGTCATCTGGCTTCATAATGGCACTTAACACTCACTTTCGAGCATTTGTGGATGATTCATAAAACACTCAAAATGTAACCTGCACATACATACCCACTAATTTTCATGCATTTCCATTGTGTTTTGCTTTTGCATGCAAACTGATGTCAGCTACAAATAAGCATGTCTGCTTGTACAGATTGATTCAGTGAGCCTTTGTGTGATTATATTATATGTGAAAAACCAGCAATTGATTTGTATTTTTGAAAAACAGTGAACTACATCATCGTAGTGAGATAAAAAGCTACAAAGAGGTGGAACACTCAGCTATCCTAAGGATTAGGGTGTTGGTAGAGATACTGCCTGAGTCTGAGCCCTAGGTCAAGTGCTCTTTTTCTTTTTCTATCTTGGAAGGAGATAACATTGAGTTGTTTTTGTTGTCTGTTTAATTTTTTACAAGTAATTTTCAGACTGTGATTTTTCTCTATTTTTCAGCTATAAAACAGGGGTGGGACTTATAAAATTCTCTGATTGAAATGTACTCTTTATAATTATTATTAAAATTATATGCATATATTAATTAAACATAGTAAGCATATCATGAAATCAAATAAAATGTGAAAATATTTAGGAACTAATCAATATTTTTTTATATTAGTAACTTTCCTAGGAAAAGAAAAAGAAAGTATAAAAAATTGACTTGGCCCTCAGCATTTGAAAGCAAAAACGAAAAAGATAACAAACAATACTATAGAGCAAATGATAAAATCCAAATAAGTAATATAGCTAATACTATCATGCTGTTGTTGTTAGTGTTGTTGAGTTGTGTCTGACTCATAGCGACCCTGTATAGGGTTACCAAGGAGTGGCTGGTGAGCTTGAACCATCGGCCCTGTGGTTCAAGAAGTTTAACTGATCATTTCCAACTGAATGGTCAATGAAGAGTGAATTGAGAATGTTGGATATGAGTTAAGTATAGATAGGTAGAGGTTTGCATAAGAAGAAGGGTCAATCTTGAATAAGGGCAAGTGTTATAGATTGAATTGTGTCCCCCTAAAATATGTGCTGTAAATCCTAAACTCTATGTCTGTGGCTATAATCTCACTTAGAAATGGGTTGTCTTTGTTAGTGAATGAAACGGAATTAGTGTATGGTGCATCTTTTGAGATATAAAAAAAGATTAAACAAGTAAGCCAGAAAAGCAGAGATGGTGGATGAGACATGGAGCCAAGACACATGATGATTCCTCAGTAGCAGAGGCTTAAAGAGACAAGGACAATGCCCTAGAACTGACACTGAATTTGGACTTCCAGTGTAGTAAACTCTGACATAATTAATTCCTGTTTGTTAAAGTCACTCAGTTATGCTATTTCTGTTATATAATGGTACTAGATAACTGAGACAGTAAGTCTGAGAGACTCTGAGAAATATTTGTCTAGAGAGGATAGTCCCTAAGGGATGTAGTACAAGATACAGGCTGGGTCAACGTGTAAGAAATTTGACCTCCTTGGAACTAAGTAAAATTGTACTCTCTTTAGTTTGATTTTCCTTGTGAATAGATAACAAACAATGTTACAGAGCAAATGATAAAATCTAAATAAGTAATACAGCTAATGATGGGATAGTCTAACTGATCATTTCCAACTGAATGGTCAATGAAGAGTGAATTGAGAATGTGGCATTTATGTATAGATGGGGAAAAGGTTTGAGACGTATAGATGGGGAAAATGTTCGAGTAGATAAAAAAACAAAACTAGTAAAGGGTTGATCTTGAATAAAGGTAGGTTTTATAGATTAAATCGTTAAATGCCAGGCATTTACTAAACTTTCCTCTCCTCTGTTAGTTTGTCATACTGTGGTGATTTGTGTATTTCTGTGATGACGGAAGCTATGCCACTGGTATTTTAAATACCAACAGGGTCAACAGTGGACAGATTTCAGTGGCGTTTCCAGACTAAGATTAGGAAGGAGTAGCAGTGGAACTTTGTCAGATACAATACTGGAAGATGAAAACATTATGAATAGCAGCAGAATACTGTTGGAGATAGTGCTGAAAGATCCCCTGAGGTTGGAAGGCACTCAAAATACCACTGGGGAAGAACTGCCTTCTCAAAGTAAAGTTGATCATAATGATGGAGCAAAGCATTTGGGACCTTCATTTGCTGATGGGGCACAACTAAAAATTAGCAAAAACAACTGCAAACATCCATTGATAATTGGAACATGGAAGTACAAAGTATGAATCTAGGAAAACTGGAAGTTGTCTCAAAAATGGAATGAAATGCATAAAGATATATATATATATATATATTGTTGTTATTAACTGCCATTGAGTCAGTTCCAACTCATAGCAACCCTGTATAAGGTTTCCAAGGAGCAGCTTGAACCACCAACCTTGTACCAGGACTTCATACTAGGAAAGAAACGATGGAAGAAACTCAATATCATCAACTCAAACAAGATCAGGGGCTGTCTGTGGAACAGACCATCAATTACTTGATGCAAGCTCAGGCTGAAGCTGAAGAAAATTAAAACAAATCCACAAGGGCCAAAATAGGTCATTGTTGTTGACTGCCACTGAGTCGGTTCTGACTCATAGTGACCTTGTATGGGGTTTCTGAGGAGCAGCTGGTTGTTTGAACCACTGTCCTTGTGGTTAGCAGTCCATTGCTTATCCTACAGCACCGCACCACCTTAAGTGTATTCCCCCTGAATTTAGAGACTATCTCAAGAACAGATTTGATGCATTAGATACTAATGATGGAAGATGAAATAAATTAACAAACAAATAGCTTAACAGAGCCTGGTACATATTAAAGGCCCAATAAATGGGGCTTACTAGATTATTGGGAGTCCTGGTGTGGTGCTGTGGACTAATGCGTCAGACTGCAAAGTTGTTTGAACTGCAACGGTCGGTGGTTCAAGCTCACCAGCTTCTCCTTGGAAACCCTATACAGGGTCGCTATGGGTCAGAATCGACTCGATGGAACTTAACAACAACTAGATTATTGAGTCCTAGTGGCACAGAGATTAAAGTAGTCAGCTAACCAAAATGCTGGTTGTTTGACTCCCCAACCCACCAGCTGCTTTGTGGGAGAAAGATGTGGCAGTCTGGTTCTGTAAAGATTTACAGCCTTGGAAGCGCTTATAGGATTGCTATGAGTTAGAACCACTTGATGGCAACAGCTTACTAGACTTTTGGTATTGTCATTATGTATGTTGAGTCTTTCCCCACTTTTCTTTTAAAAAATGGTAGGAAGAATAATAGGATTAATATTAATGTATGTCAAATCAAGGGAAAGAGGTGGTAAAGTTCATTATCTTGAAAATCAAACCAGACTCTTATGTTGATTCTCATTAAGGTTCTAGAAATTCTTTTTGCTCAAGTAATTTCTTTAGGATAAGCTTAAAGAAATCCTGGTGTGGCTTTGTAGGATAAGCACTGAACTGCTAATCACAAGGTTTGTGGTTCAAACCCACTAGCTGCTCCTTGAAAACTATATACAGGGTCACTATGAGTTGCAACCAACTTGAGGGCACTTAACAACAATAAAGCTTAAGAAAAATAAAACAAATGATGAAAATACTTTTGTATATCTAAGCACTTCCGCTGTAACCCCTGCCATCTTTGCAAAAGTCAAATATTTCTCAGTGAAAATGTGCAAATCAGAGGAGGTAGGTCCTTTATTTTTTTTTGAAACAGGAGCTAATGTAATCTTTAACATATTTTTCTAAATCTAAATGAAGAACTATTTAAAATACATAAATAGATAATTATAATAGGGCACAGTTAAACATGCTACTTGTATTTTTTGAATAATTGTATAGAAAAGTCCATAGAAATATTAAGTTCTAGAATGAAAAACATGCATGGTTTTAGAAAGTATAACCTGGAAAGCTTATTAAAAATGTAGACTCCCATCCCCATCCCAGATAATCGGATTCATTAACCCGAGAATAGGACCAAATACACACTTTTAATAGCACTCCAGGTGACCCTCATTTAGGTGGTCTGCAGACTAAGTTTTGAAGAACTAGTTGTAAGGATTTTCCAGGAATAGAGAGCATGGACAAAAGACTAGCTCAGGTAGCGTGAAGGACTCTAATTCTGCTACCCCTAGCAAAGACCTGTTTCATAAAATGAACTGATGACACACGTACAACATTTATCTAAAATTGGTAAAACATAAGCCACTCCTAGATCATGGCAAAAAAAATCTTCATCACTGACTTCAAGTTGGTTTATCATTTAATAAAAACCTCCATTTGGCTAGGAACTGTACTAAGTTCTTTCGCCTATATTATCTTAATATTCCCAATAATCCTGTGACATTCCCATTTTAGAGATAAGGAAAGGGTCTTTGTGGCCTCAATTAACAAAAACCTAATTGAAATAACTTTAACCAAAAGGAAAGATACCATTTTAAAAAAAGGAAAGATAACTCCAGTTTAGAAATCCCAAGAAATCAAATAGATTTCAGCATTGGTTGGGCTGATAATTCACAAATGTCATTCAGACTCAGGTCCCTTTCATCTGTATCTTTGGCATCTTTAAATGCTAACTTCATCCTAAAGCTAGTTCTCCTCTTGGTCATAGGACAGATGGTGGTTATGACAGAGGTTTCATCCTGTCTCATTCACCTATAGGAGAGCAGGCTTTTCTTAGCTGTTAGTTTTCCTGAATAACAAGGACCTCACATTAGATTGTTATTAGGTGCCATTGAGTCGATTCTGCCTCATAGTGACCCTTTATAGGGTTTCTGAGGAACAGCTGGTAGGTTTGAAGCACTGACCCTGTGGTTTGCAGTCCAGTGCTTATCCTACAGTGCCATACCAAGAGTCCATTAGATTAGGCGCCAATTAAATCACTGTCGCACAGGGCTGAATTATTCTATTTGGCTTAGACCAGTGTTTTTAAGCGCTTCCCGCCCCCCCCCCCCCATTATTTCCCCACTAACGAACCTTTTTTAGACATAGTTTTCCTGATTGCTTTTCCATGAAATTTTACTGTCATTGATGACATATATATCTGTTTATGTACTATATATTTACTTGAGCTATAAAAAGAGTACACTTATTAGCCTAGCCCCTTCCCCTTGACTGTGATACCACCTCCTTTAAGAAGCACAGCTAGACTAATTCACGTTAATCCCTGGAGTTGTGGATGGCAGTGGCTTTACTCAAAGCATATGTCCATGTATGATGGAGGTATGGATACAAAGCAAAAATATGGGCTCTGATTCATTGAGAAACAATTAGGGAGTGGTTGGATACTGGTTAGGCAAGCAACAGTGACTACTATTCAAGCTGAGAGAGATAGCACGTAATTTGTTCTAGTATTAGTAAGTGGTAGAATCAATTTAGACCCAGGTTTCTGACTTCAAATGCAATGCTCTGTCCTTCACTCTTTGTTCATTTTTAGTTCACCTTGGAGGTAACTTCAAAAATAAAGTCAAAAGGCTCATGACTTCAAATACTGGCTCTGTACTTACTAGCTGTGTGAACAAGTCAATTGAGCGCTCTGAACTTCATGTCCTTTATTTCTAAGGAGAGGGATTATAATTTCTTTATTAGCAGACCATTAGGATTAAACAAGTTAAAACATGCACGACAACAAGATTTTGTAAATATTAGTTCCTTTGCACCATTACTTTCATTTTCTTTCTAAAAAGTATTAAGTGAAAGCTTAGCAATTTACTGTCTAAGAAATAGAGTATTTCTACAATTTATAAACCCAGAAGGATATCATGCTTGGTTAAGTGGAGGGTCAGTGAAAACAAGGAAGACCCCCAGGGATGTATGACAGGGTGTCAGCAACAATGGTTTCACACATAACACTTGTGGGGATGATTCAGGACCAGGCAGTGTTTTGTTCTGTGTGCATAGAATTGCTATGAGTCAGAACTGGTTCTAAGGCACCAAACAACAATTCTCTTTCAAAAGTTATTTGTTTTTTATAATATACAATATTGTATATACTATACAAATAGCATACTTTAGAAATTGCCACATTCACAAAACATTCAGATAGAGTTAAAATTTTCTACACTACATAGCAGTTGAATGGAATGAGCATTTTAAATGGTCTGTGATGTGTTTCTGTGCTGGTTGCGAAACTGTAAAATAGTTACAAAGTAAAATTATAAATCACTTTCAATTTTATGACTTTGACCATCACAATTTGATATTTACAAAGATGTTTATCTGTTCTTTTTTTCTAGGACAAGTCTATTAGCACTAGTTTACCTGTCCTAGATTTAATAGATGCCATTGCTCCTAATGCAGTTCGTCAAGAAATGATCAAAAGAGGAGACTTTTCTGATGAGGACAAGCTGAATAATGCTAAGTAAGTCCTGATGGTTTATATGAGAGCACAGTCATTCTTCAGCAAAGTCCCTGCTGAAAAGGTTATTTAATGTTCATAAAACTTACATTCTACAACTTACATTTACAACTTTTATGGGAAATAGGACTTAAGACTCACAACTTAACCTTCTTGTAAAGTCAGTCTTATGCATTGAAATATATTATTATTTTGTTAAAACATAGGAGATGACATATACCAAAATATTTTTCTTTTCTTTTAAAGATATGCCATTTCGGTTGCTCGAAAGATCGGTGCCCGGATATATGCACTACCTGATGACCTAGTAGAAGTGAAACCAAAGATGGTTATGACGGTGTTTGCATGTTTAATGGGAAAAGGACTGAACAGAATAAAATAATGCAACTTTTGATAAGATTTTCTGCCACACTGAACATATTGAATGTCTCACAGTTTACATAATTCTGAAATGTAGTAGATATATAACCAGAGATTATTTGTATGCTCAAAAATAGATATATATATTCAATAATTAAATTTAGTATCCTGTTCATACTAGTTAGAATTTGTTAACCTTTTTGAATAACACAATTTACTGATTAACACTGATACTAGAGTATACTCATTAGCATGATTAAATTCTTTTCCCTGAAAGTCTCATTAAAACAAGGCTAATTCGTTCTTTTACATGGTTCAAACAAGATCAATACAAAAATCTTTTTGAAGTTCTGTTGTGAAATGTGTTTTGATTTTTTTGTGTGTATAATTTAATTTTGATCATATGATCATTTTGATCATAGTCATAATCCAGTTCAATCTTTCCATTTTTTCCCTCCAAATACAAAAAGTCGTCTAAAAATTTGATTTTTCTGAAAATTTCTACATTGTCTAAAATTTTAAAGTGACAGGTACTGTTGCTTAATACTAAACTTTTTTACATAGAGAACTATTGAAGAAAATCCAAGGTTTACTCTCTTATATAAGTAGAAGAAGCTTTTTATTAAAAACTTACTTTTCATTGCATTGATATAGTTTACATATGCTAGTTTGGTTACAAAGCTTTGATTATGACATGCAGCATATATTTGTTGATAGAATATCATTAGAAAAATATGTGTACATGTATATATATGTGTGTGTGTATTGCACCCGAATTACCCAAATCTTCTTGAACAGTATGTATAATTGGTTAATCAGCCAAGTACAAGTATTTATTGTGCCCCCAATATATGTGTGTGTAGCACTTTCCAGTTTGTGGATATATGGTACATGAAGATTTCTTTCAGCAATATTCATTTTGAACATGCATATAGTTAATTTTCAACTGGCTCCTTCCAAATATTTGTAGCCAACATACTCAAGGCATGTTGGCACTATTAGCTTCATATTATACTTCTTAGTTTTGGTCCTACATAATTTAGAATATGCCCACTGAATATCATTAGAAGAAAGTAACACAAAGTTAAAATTCAACGTATGGTATGTTTTTACATGTTTTTTCTAAAGCCTTCTTCAGTTGTCAGGGTTAGCTGCTTATGTTTGTGTGACCTGGGATTAGCTAAAGCTTCAGATAGGTTTTTGTCCAAAGTTTTTGCAGCAGACCTTCTTTCATCTTGCACCACCAGTGAGCTTATACAGTTGTGCAACCAAGATGCTGTCAGTTAGATCTCAGTGTGAATAAGTTTTCTCAACCCTCCTCCTGCTATTGCTTAAAACATACATGTTGGTAGGAGTGAGACTGCTCTTACATTTAGAACAGAATTTTTTTAATAAAATGATCAACATGTAGAATTTTGAAATAATATTCTTCTACAGGAGAGATTTCCTTCCCTTTTATATTTTGATGATTGTTTTCTTGTATGAAGATTTAGCTGTGTTCTTTCTCTTTTATGAAATTATTTAAATTGTGTTCCTTCCTTTGATTTATTTTCATCATATTCCTTTAGTCACCTGATTTACATGAAATACAACATTTAGTGTTCTTTTCTCACAAAGTATGTTTAATAAAAATGCACAAAGTATATTTAATAAAAATACTGTGTATGTAGAAATGTTTCAGTATTTATTTTATTTAATAATAGACAAGCTTGAAAATTAGTCTAGTATAAGTCTGTTTTCCAGAAAATGAAGAACAGTTCCTACGTTAATTAAAACAATTCTATTAGATCATTCATTTCTTTGGTGATGAAGTAGTTCTTTCATGTGCAGAATTTTAGTAAAGAAAAGAGCAACAATAAGGACTACAAATTTAGTTCATGCTAAAATAATTTAAGTGAATGAATTCATTCATGAGCAAAAATTTACTGTCTGTTATGAGCCAGGTATTATGCTAGACATTGGAGGAAAATACCAAGTCTCCTGACCTCATGAATTTTATATCCTAATGGAGGGGAGGTAGAAGATAAACATATAAGAATTTCAGGCAGTAGTCAATGCAGTGAAAGAAATCAAACAGGAGAATGTGATAGAGACTAACTTGGAAAGTGGGTGGAAGGGAAGATTTCCCTAAGGTTGTGTATTTGGACAGAGCTCTGAAGGATGAGGGAGGAGGAGCTAGGTGAGTGTTTAGTAGAGGGAAGAAGTGTAAAGGCAGGAAGACTCTTGTGGACAAGTTAAGGAAAGAAATAGTAAATGTCACCCAAGAATAGTGAGGGAGGGATTCTGTTCTACTTGTAGGAATAGATCCGAATCTGTATTTTCTCTTCTGCGATTGGGTTGTGACTGCTCTTCTCTTGTACATGCAGTTTGGGTGAGATGCTTCAGGTACTGCTCCTGGACCTTGCATGCAATTGTTCATCACAACTCTACCGTTGGTCTCCATATCACAGATGCTAAATCCATATAATGGGTGATCACTGACCTTTAAATTTTTAACAGATATTGTTGTTAAGTGCCACAGAGTTGGCTCTGGCTCCTAGCAACCTTGCATAAGGTTTCTGAGTAGTGGCCGGTAGGTTTGAACTGCCAGTCTTTTGTTGTTTATCACTTCAGGGCTTATCCTACAGTGCCATACCAGGACTCCCACAGATCATATTGCTGTTGTTAAGTGCCATGGAGTAAGTTCTGACTCATAGAGACCCTGTATAGGGATTCCAAGGAGCAGCTGATGTTAAAATATTCCAGTTTATATTGGATAAAGGAGTCCTGGTGTGGTGCTGTGGGTTAATGCACTGGACTGCAAAGTCGGTTGCAGTCAAGTGCACCAGCAGCTTGTCAGTTCAAATTCATAAGGTTGGCAGTTGAAGTTCACCAGCGACTCCTCGGAAACCCAATACAGGATCACTATGGGTTAGGAACTGACTCAACAGTACTTAACAACAATAATACTAGATAAAAGGACTCCCGGTAGAACAGTGGTTAAAACACTTCACTGCTGGCCAAAAGGCTGGCAGTTTAAACCCACAAACTTTCTTTCACAGGAGAAAGTGTGGCAGTCTTCTTTCATAAACATTTACAGCCTTGGGTACCCTATGGAGCAGTTCTACTTTGTCCTAAAGGATCACTATGAGTTGAAATCAACTTCATGGCAATTGGTTATACTGGATAAAGACTGGAATAGATAAAAAAAAAAAAAAACGAAAAAAAACGAAAAAAAAAACCCTGAAAAACAGGATGCAATTGCAACATTGGTTTACTTTAAAGGAAGAATGCTCCAAATACTTGGGCAAGCCTCCTAGGATTATCTACTAAAGTAGGTTGGAATTCCCCCAAACTTTGGAAATTAATCCGGTCGTGGGCATCCTCTTGAAAAGGAACCAATAACTTAAGCCCAGAAACATCATATTAAAGTGAATTCTATATTTTATTTTACTTTTTCTCATTTTTTGAGCCATATTTTATTTCCATATTTTGAAGCCAGCCTCCCCTCTCCCACATCAAATATATATACATATATAGACCAAACCCACTGCCATCAAGTTGATTCCAACTCTTACCAACCCTATATAGGGTTTCCGAGGCTGTAAATCTTTATGGGAGCAGATGCTAATGGATTACATGATTCTGTTAATAAGGTTAATTGTAAAAACTTGGAAGCAGGAGGGGCCATCTCACTAACATCAAGGAAGAAGAGGCAGAAGTGAAGTGCATCCTTTGGAACCCATATATTTGGTAATATTTATACTAAAATATTTTAGAACTTATGGATGAATAGAGATTAGAATTTTTCTTCTATTGACTAAAAATTTTTTGGCATTACTAATCCCAATTCATGTAAAAGCTTTTTAGGGTGCAAGACAACAGCAGTATTTCAGAGGACTCCTATAAGACTTGGATCAGTTTCTAAATGAAAGGTTGCTATCAGTCATAATCGACTGAAAGGTGTGCAACAACAATTGTTATTGTTGTGAGGTGCCATTGAGTCGGTACTGACTCATAGCGACCTTATGCACAGCAGAACGAAACACTGCCTGATCCTGGGCAGTGTCAAAATAACAGACACATAAATTGTTCTCTGGCCAAAAATCTAACAGAAAACTTGTCTAGACATTCCACAAACTTGTAACTGTATTAAGCATTATAGAATGAAGATTTAGGATTTACTATACAAGAGCTCTGGTAGTGTAGTGGTTATGAGTTGGGCTGCTAACCTCAAGGTCAGCAGTTTGAAACCACCAGGCGTTCTTCGGGAGAAAGATGAGGCTTTCTGTTCCCATGAGGATTTACAGCCTCAGAAACTCTATACAGACAGAATCGCTAGGAGTCAGAACCAACTCCATGGTATACTACCACCATCACCACTACCATAAACAAGACAAATCAACTAAAAGATACAGTAGATAGTCAACTATTTTGTAGCATATACATAAAGATGTCAGGAAAGGTGAGTAGTGTTTGTGTCTGCTAGCTAAGGCCTCTTAGAGAAGACCTAAAGAAGATCTTGGTAAGAAACATATAAAGTACTTTGGGGCCAACAGTGTTGACAGGAATGAAAGAAATCAACGCGAATAGAGTTGGAAATGATTAGTTGCCATCAAGTGGATTCCAAGTCATAGCGACCCCATGTGTGCAGAGTAGAACTGCTCCAGAGGGCTTCCAAGTAGCCTTACTTCCAAGTAGTCTCTGGAACTGTTAACCTGTTTGTTAGTAATTGAGTGCTTAACCATTTGTGCTACCCAGGTACCCAGAGTAAGCATTCCCTTCAAAAATAGCCCATGCTGAAGTAAAATTGTGTATTGGCTTAAAATATAAAATCTTAGGGTGCAATTAAGATTTTGGTAACGTTGGTTGGAGGAAGTAATAGGGATTATTCAAGAGATGCAATTGCCAGCTTTCCCTCTAGCTTTTTAAGGTGCAAAACAACAGGAGTATTCTACATTGTTGTCAGGTGCTATTAAGTCAGTTAGACTCATAGCAAACTTTATGCACAACAGAACGAAACATTGCCCCATCCTGCACCAATCTCACAATCGTTGTTACGCTTGAACTGCGAGGGGGCTTCAAAAAGTTTGTGAAAAAAATAATATCTTAATTCCATGTTTTCTCGAACTTTTTGGAGACCCCTCATCAAATGGTCAATCTGCTTTAAATAAAAGCTTGATTAAAAAATTACTGAAGGAATAAATTGAGCTGTAGTCAGCTTTTGCATACATAGCTGTCTTTTAAGATGAAATTGTAAAGATGAACAAGAAAACCACTGAAGGATTGTGAAGAGTAGGTCCCCAAAATATGCTTTTCTATTGGTTTCAAGTTTGTACACTTGAAAAGGGATGAGAGTTGGTACACTTGAATTAATAGAATAAATGTGTGACATCTGGAATTATGTGGCAATTTCAGATCATTAAGTGTTGTTAGAAAAATACAGCCTTTAGAAATAACGGAGATAGCTGGATGTCAATATACACATGGGGTTTCTCGCCTTTTTGTTTTAGCAAGTGTACACCGGATATGAAATGGTTTTGCATGGGGCAAAAGGAGTTTCGATGAAAGGTTAAGTCATCAGAGACTCAATTAGTATACCGCTTAAGGTTTAATTTATGTGCATCAAAAGACGTAGGGGATATCGTCTTAAACCAGCAACTTCTGTGTGTTAAGGTGAAGGAAGCGTTCAGCTCCTCTTCAGAAAACAGCAGGCGGCGGCAGGAGCGCAGGGGAGTAGGTGGGGCATCCTGACACCCCGCCCCGCCCCAGGCCCCGCCCGCCCTCGAGCCACTCGCCCTGGAGCTCTACCTCGCCGCAGGCCCCTCCTCCGTGTCGTCGCTATCGCAGAGCGCAGGATGACGTGAAGAGAGAGCCGCGAACATCTATCTTCTCGGGTGTATCTCGGTCTGCTGCTCCACGGCCCCGGAGCCCGACGTGCGCAGAAGCGCCCCTCGGAGCTCTTCTCCCACGGATCCCTTATCCCCCTTTTGGGCCGGGCCGCCCCTGCGCGGCCCCTACGGCTCTTGGCACGGCCCCGCGCTCCACTGTCGCCCTGGCACGCGCCACTCTGTCGTCCCCTGACGGGCGCGGACCGGCTCGGCCGGGGCGCCGGCGCCTGGGAAGGGGGCGCTGGCCCCGGGGTCGCGCATGCGCCGCCACCAACCTGGGGCTGTCAGTGGAGGGCGAGTGCTGGCTCCAAGGGGAGACGACAGTCTTCGGGGCCAACGGGCCGCACTCCGAGGCGGCTGTGGGAACGACTCATCCCTTTTCCAGCCGTGGGGCGGGGCTGGAGTCGGGGTCGGGACCGGTGGGGGCCCCGCCTCCGTCCCCTGGCCTGCCCCCATCATGGGCCGCGATGATGGCGGCCTTGTACCCGAGCACGGACCTCTCGGGCGTCTCCTCCTCCTCCCTGCCTTCTTCCCCATCCTCTTCGTCCCCGAACGAGGTGATGGCGCTGAAGGATGTGCGGGAGGTGAAGGAGGAGAATACCCTGAATGAGAAGCTTTTCTTGCTGGCGTGCGACAAGGGTGAGAGCTAGGCCCCTTTCCGTGTTTTCTGTACTCCCGTGCCCTTCACACCCTTCATCCCCTTCCCTGCCTCAACTTACTCGAGGCTACCATTCCCACGCTCCGAGCTGCTGCGCGCGCCGCCCGCACCGCCTCTGCCTGCAAGTGCAGTGCCGCGCGCCTAGGCGGGCGCCGGGGCGCTGGCTCTGGCCGCTCCTTCCCTTGGTGCGGTCCAGTCTTTAGGTAATAGCATCTTTAGGTAGTAGACACTTGGATTCTAGCCCTGCCTCTGCTACTGACCGACCGGTGAATGCTTTGGTCCATCTTTCGGGAACTTCAATTCTTCTGGGACCCTAGAGGGTTTGTCTCCTTTCTCTGGGACCTTCCAGTCCAAAAATTACATGACCTTAAAATTAACGTTCCTCATGTTTATGGACTCTGACTTGATTTTGTTTGTACTTCTGTTATTGCACTTCAGCTGCTTAGTGCCTTAGCCAATAAGTGTTCAGTGACTGTTGGATAGAATTAGTAATTCTAAATCCTAGGTGGAGATACGTGAAATAAGCACAGAATTGGAGAACTTCTGCTGTAGCCCCTCAAACTTCCTTAAGATCTATAGAACAGTTTGGATGGTTCTTGATTTTTATGGGAGCGAAAGGATTATTGCCCGCCATAATAATCCTGTGGGATTATTAGCTATAATTTCTGTGAGAAATTAAGGTAGTGCAAAATAATTATCAAGCAAAAATATATGGATAACATTTAATGTGGTTTTCTTCTTTTTAAATCTAGAAATGAATGGCTCTTATGACCCTGTTAAAGTCTTCACATTAGCTTGCTTTCTAGTGATAAAATGAGTGGGAAATTGATTTCATTTCCTGCATGTAAAAATGTACCGAATTTTTTTTCTCTAAATTAATAGCCATGCTCATTTAGGGAAATTTTGTTTAGAATAATGCAAACTTCCAAAATATAAACCCTGGGCAATTTACAATTTGACTACAGAAGATTTTTGTACCTGTGTTTAATATACAGCCATCTTCCTACTTCTTTACTGCTTTGAACTAGGATTCTATTTACACAATTTTTCAAAAACATGCTGAAATGTAAATTGTTGTCAAAGTGCCTTTGAGTCAATTCAAACTCATAGCGACCTTGTATGGGGTTTTTGAGGAGTAACTGGTGGATTTAAACTGCCAACTTTATGTTTCAAACCTTGTGTTTTATGCTTATCCTATAGTACCATGCCAGGATTCCATGATATGTAAATGGAGTCTACATATGTCTCGTGTCAAGCCACTTCTATATTCATATGTGATAGTGCTAAATAACATTATAAAAGCATTTGTTATAAAGTCTACCATAGTTGAAACTTTGGGTAAAAGGTAAGAAAAGTAGACTACGTGTCTGTAACTTCATACACATGATCTGTGGATTATGTAAAATTACTTAGTGTTGCTGGCATGGCTTGCCTGAGTTCTCTTCCCTCAAAAGTTGTCTGTAAGAGAAAGAGGAAAGATTGTGTGTTGTACCAGAGTTTAGTGACTGCTTCATTGACCCCCAGTTCACTCAGCTGTGGTTACTTTAAAACAAACAGAAAGTATGTCAAGAATAAGAATTTCATATTCCTATCAGACTGAGGACAAAGGAGTATCGTAATGGAATATAATTTTAAAAGGTGCTTGTATGGTGTGTATGCTTAGGAATACTATGTCACATATCTCAAACAAAAGGGAGTCTTAATATAGACTATCCAGTAGTGCCAGTAGAAACAGTTTGGTATAATTGTCAGTTTCCCATTTTATAACATCATTAAGATCCCAGGGAAGATTTGCCTTTTGTGGATGTGATGGAAACTAAACATGTATGCTTTTGTTTCCCCTTTATAAGTTAAAAGTAAAACCTATAAATTAGATCAAAATAAAAGACTTTCTGTTTTAGTATGTTTGCACAAGTTTTGGGTTAGATTTAGGAAAATGTGATATTTGTTATCCATACTTGTGGTATAAATTTTTACTAAAAATAAATTTGAATTATAGGAATATATACATATTTTTGTTTACATGTTGATATTCACTAATGGTAAATCTTATTTGATATTACCCAAACCACATCTAAAAGTAAGATTTTTCTGAAGTGGCAATAACTCCCACCACGATATGAGAATCTTCATCAAACCAAACGGTAAACATCTACAAAAAATAGACTGTGTAGAATGATTGTGATTTTCAAGCATAATTTCAATTAATTCTTACAACCCTATGTTTTATCTCCATTTTATAGTTGAGGAAAATGAGGCTTTAGCAAAATTTTTTAATTACTATGTCCAAGGTTACATTGGTTAGAAAATAGTAGAACTGGGATTTGTTTTAATCCTGCATTCTTAACCACCGTGTTTATTGATCTGCTTGTCACTAAATGAATGAAAATCATTTGTGTTAGAAAAGACACCTTCAGCTGCAGAGTTGCTATTGCTGCTGCTGTGTCATCAAGTCAGTTTCCGACTCATAACAACCCTGTATAGGTTTTCCAAGGCTGTAAATCTTTCTCTTGAGGAGCGGTTGGTGGTTTTGAACTGCTGCCTTTGCAGCTGCACTACTTTGAAATTAACTTGCTTTCTATGAATGTTTTATAAACATTGATTTCTGTGTATTCAATTTAGTCAATAAAGGAAAAAAGCATGCATGATACTCTTTAGTAGCACCAGAGTAAATCCATTCTAGAACATGTGTTTCTCATCCTTTTCATTTAGTAACTTTCTCTACATGCTCAAAAAAAAAGACATACCACATTTAGGAGAAATTCCTAAAGCAAAAGTTTTGTGAAAAAGGTGGTTATGTGTAAGTGAATGGATGGTCATTTACATATTAAGTTGTAAAGAAAAAAGATGAGAGAAAAGGAAAAGATTTTATAGTTTGTAATAACTAGCTTTTATGTAAAGAAATTCATTAGCTCTAAGCAAGTTTTAGACTCCTGGTGTGGTGCTGTAGGATCAGCACTGGACTGTGAACCATATGGTCATTCGTTCAAACCCACCAGCTACTCCTTGGAAACCCTATAAAGGGTCACTATGAGTCGGAACCGAGTTGATGACACTTTACAACAACAAAAAGCAAGTAACAGAGTCCCAGGTAGCAAAACTGGTTAAGAGTTATGCTATGGACTGAAAGGTTGGTACTTTAAATGAGAAGCAACTCTGAAAAAAAGGCCAGGTGGTCTATTTCCAAAGGATTATAGCTATTGAAAACCTTATGGAACAAAGTTCTACTCTGACAAACATGGACTAACCATGAGTCAGAATAGTTTTGTTTTTTGCTATTGTTGTTAGGCAAATGTTGATCTAGGTAGTAGACATTTAGCAGTGACTGTTATCTTTCAATTGCATCAGGATCATCTGAAATACAGCACTAGGTCCTTTCCTTGTATAAAATTTAGTTGGAAAAGTGAACTGAAAGTTCGTATGCCAATAATACACAGATAAGTCTGAACCCTCAAGCAATAATCTCAGAAAGTGCACCCATATTTTCAGACATAGAAACTTTGTGCAATGCAAAGTTGAGTAAAAATGTATTGTTTCATGAACTCTTCTTAAGCAGTGATCTTTACCACCCATGTCTTTTCCCTGTCATTGAGAGTATGATAAGGAGACACTTTTATTTATTGTAGATTGTTGACTGGGGAAAAGGCAGTGCAAATGGTTAACATACTTGGCTGCTAACTGAAAAGTTGGTGGTTTGAGTCCACTCAAGCACATTATAAAAAAAACCTGGCTATCTCCTTCCAAAGAGTCAGCCACTTGAAAACCCTATGGAACATAACATAATTCTATTCTGATGCACATGGGGTCATTATGAGTCAGAATCAACTTTGACAACATGAGTCCCTCTGGCCTTGGACTCTCAGGTCCTTGTTCACCAACAACCACTTGGGATGGTGAAACTGGACACTAAGTCTAGTTCATGTTAATTCTCCTCCTGGTGTGGCAATGTAGGATAAGCACTGGACTGCTAACCACAAGTTTGGCAATGCCAACCCTCCAGATGTTCCTTGGAAACCCTAAATGGGGTTGCTATGAGTTGGAACTGACTTGCTGGCTCTTAACAATAACAACAAAGTAATAGCCCTGGTGGTGCAGTGATGAAGCCCTGAGCTACTCTTAAGTTGGCTCTTGCACTCCACCAACTGCTCTGTGGGAGAAAGATGTGATAGGCTTCTCAAAAGATGACTAGGCACTGTTGGTTCCAACTCATAGTGACCGTATGTATGACAGAACAAAGCATTGCCCAGTCTTGCACCATCCTCACAATCATTGCCGTTTTTGAGTCAATTATTGCAGCCACTGTGTCAGTCCATCCCATTAAGGGCCTTGCTCTTTTTCTCTACCAAGCACAAGATCCTCCTGATAACATGTCCAAAGTATGTGAGAGTAAGTCTTGCCATGTTGTTTCTAAGGAGCATTCTAAGTAAAGATGACAGCCTTGGAAACCCAAGAAACAGTTCTACTCTGGTTGGGTTGCTATCAGTTGAAATGTACTCAGCAGCAACTGTTTTGATTTGGCTTGGTTTTAAGCTTGGTTTCAGTAGGTGGTATCTTATTATGTTTGTGACCATACACTCACATTAAGTTGTTTAATTTGCTGATCAATGAACAGTTTATTGTGGAGAAAAAGGAAGTAGAAAGGGATTCTTTCTCTATCAACTCTCCACTGATAGGAGTTTTGGGAAATCTGATTTTCTGTGAGTCAAGATGGCCGTTTAGAAATTTCAGCATAGGTCGATAGAGGGCAGGATTTCACCTTTATTCCTGGGTTCTGCCTAGTTTGAGTCACCAGCCACCTTTGTGGAATGATCTGCTACATTATCAGGAAGGATGCTTTGAATTCCTAGTAAGCTTTGTATACCTGTGGGCTAAGGATTTATTTTAAATGTACAACATTTCTGGGAGATATGCTATAAAGGCTGCTGTTTTATTAACACCTGACAAGCCCTCATAGTGTAGTGAATTCTGAGCTGAGCTGCTA